GGATAATGTTACAAGCCGCCGCGCGGCCTCCACGCCAATCCTTAGCAGACACGCCGTCCACGGTCTTCTGAGTGGCGGTGTAGGCATGGATGGTGGTCATCAGGCCCTTCTCGATTCCGACGCCTTCCTTCAAGAGGACGTGGCAGATTGGGGCCAGGCAGTTCGTGGTGCAGGACGCGTTGGAGACCACGTGATGCTGGGACTTGTCGTATTCCGTGTGGTTCACGCCGCAGACCTCAAGAACATTACAAGCGGACGCCTCACACACCTTCAACTCACGGCAGACAAAGCAAGAATCACCATGAAGTATCCAACTTGACGCAAAGGGGCCAGGGTCTTCAGAGAGCCCTTGCCAGGGGCGGAGATGATGACTTTTTCTGCGCCGGCTTCGATGTGACCCAGGGCCTCACACAGCCCACCAGCCCACCATATGAAGCTTAGCTAAACTCATGTCATCAGACGGCTAGGAGAAGCCTTCTCGTACTCCACGAACAGGCCGGTGGACTCGATGACGAACTGCCTCGCTTTCGTTTTGCATAGGTGGAGAGACGGCAAGCGGTTCCATATGCTCGCTCCAACTTCACTTTCCGACACTTTCCGCATCCCCCAACGACAAGTGGCACGGCCTTGCATCTTACTCTGTGACAGCCCTGATTTCTGTGCGGCACAGGGCACACTCCCAAGTCCTTCCAGGGCAGGGCCTTGGGGCCCTCCCTGCTGGCCATGATGCACTTGATCCTGGGTTTTATTACGGGTACCGTGATGCTCAAGTACTCTTCCAGCTGTCTGAGCTTCCCTGGTTCTTGCTATGCGTAAGAGGGAAACCTAAGGTATTGCTTCAGACGCTCTAGTTAGTTAGCATAAAGGCAAATATACGCACAAAAAGGGATTCACATCCTTTACATGGGGCATGATCGGCTATGTGAAACGTAGGTTCCGGGTTTGAGGCTTTGCAAGTAACAAATCACACGGAGGAACGTTAAAAAACAAACACACACACAGGGGTTTTGGCTGTCGTTGCAGGAGGAAGAGCGAGCAAAAAGCGGAAGCTGCGCTCACGTGGAACACAAATGAGCAGCGAAGATGACCCGAGTAAGCCCTTGTGTAGACAAGCCAGAGAATCTTTAGGCTGCGACAACGCCAGAAAGTGCCAAACACCATTCCGAAGATTGCAAGGGCAGAATGACATCATCAAGCAAGTTCAAGCCGAACACCCACCACCAGCCCCGGTCAATCTCTGTTTGCCCAACTACCTGCACTTCCTAATACCTCCCTGTTCCGTTTGCACAACCCACACCATCATGCCATGGTTCTTGTGGCCGTTCACGATGAGCTCGTCCTGGTGCACGCTTCATGCTTTGCTTCGTGCTGCAGAGCTCGAAAGTACAATCTCCATCGGCAGCTCATGTGTCCGTGACAAAAGCTTGGCGACGCATGACAAGCTGTTGAAAGCTTCTTGCTCTGCCACTGCAGGAAGCCTGTAGGAAACTGTTCATTCTTCTGTGCAGCAAAGGAGCATTGCCAAAGCAACTAGGCCAAGCCAGTGCAGTTATGCTGGTAGCCCTTAAAGCTATTACAAATAAGCATCAGTGTGTGGTGACGGGCCTTGCCCCCTTACTGTCCTTGTCGCCGATCTTCACATCATGCTTGAATTTGCCGTGAACCGTATCCTTGTGGCAACAGAAAATTGCTTGGTTTGCATCCGCGCACGATGCGGCAGAACATGCAGCTGCCCGGGGTCGAGAAGGCCAGCCCTTGCATCATGCTATTACCAACCCTAAACCAAGGTGTGAACCAGCACTTGCCAATATAATCCGTATACTCATGGAAGTATGCAAGCGGGCCACGTACTTCATCTGATATGCGAAGTACCTCAGAAGAGCTTCCATATATAGGCTTCTGCATGCTGGTCCACATGTAAATGCACCAAGAAACTCGGCATCCGTGGACATATCGACCACACCGACCTTGAACATGCTGAGTTGCTTCACCGTAGCTGACAATGTCTTACTGCCCTACCGAGTCCTACTGCCCTTCCTTCACTCATACCTTGGCTGCAGCGTACAAGTGGGTGATGGAATTTCTGGCTGACTGGATTGCAGTTCCACAGCCTGTCGTTTGATTACCTTTTGTGTTGTGCTAGGCGCATGGACACAAGCAGCAATCGCTGTGCAAAGAAGTACCGCATGCCGTCCCTGCAAATGCTTCATGCCAGCTGCGCTGATTCATTGAAGGGATGCTGGCTGTCTGAAAGAATGACCCATGTGCCATCGGGAATCCCTCAACATCCCTTCAGCTGCTTCAGCACCAGCGCTCTTGCAAGAAAAGCTCGCAGATCAAAAAGCACGAGCGGCCACATCCAGCTTGCTACCCAGAAGGCCCTGGTCGCAAATGGCCTGTCACAAGCTTTTGCCAAGCTGTTACCTTGAATGTTCAAATTCAAATGTTGAGAAGTTGACTTGTGTGGTGCTCGACTCTCAACTGGCCCCACAGTGTCCATGCAGAATGCAAAAGAATGGGCACCTCCTGGGTTGGAGGCGAAGCCGGCAACTAGATGTCTGAATGAGGATTTTCTTGAAATTTGCAGGATTTTCGTTTTGCCTCTGCCCAGCCACACAGTCATGGCACATCAGCACTTTTCGGTGTGCACTAGTGCAAGCACGCAGCTGTGTGTCAACTTTTCACGTAGGCAAACTCAACTTGCAAAATGAAACTTGAACATTCCGTCAAAGGTGCCACCCCAATGGACCTATGCAGTCTCCATATTATGGATGCCTACCGCAGATGACCCCTACATAGTCCCCAACATCCCCCATCAATGTCAGCGACTGCACCTGGAAGACCATGCGCCCAATCCGGCCGAAGCCATTAATGCCGACCCTCAGTTTGATCCGGTTGATGTACTGTAGAGCTATGTAGAGGGCTATGGGAATTCTAGAGCCCCATGTTTGAGGTATGTCCGGGAGGCCTCCCCTTCTTGGAAACTACTAAAGAGTCTCTGCAACAGACACTGCAAGGAAATTTGCAAGTGCTATGGGTTTACTTTCACGTCTTGGTGAGAGCACAGTGTAAGAATGTGTAAGATAGGTCTATAATCTCGTCCCTGTCGTCAGCCATCACAGTGCTGAGCCGCGCTGAATGCAAATTGCGCGCAGGCCTTCAAGGTTGGGCATTCTTCTGCGGAGACCGGGCGCGGCGAATCTTGACGATCGATTATGCAATCGGTTTGGGTGTTGTGGCCTATACGTAGCCTTTCAAAGCCCGGCTGATCCACGAAGGGCCATCAAGTCCAAGCTGCTTGGTTGCCATGATGTTGCGGCAAAATTTGGCTGGAAGGAAGGCTTCAGAGAGCAAGTGAGCAGCTGACAGCAGTGTAGTTCAGGCAAACATGTTGAAGGCCGGGATTTTGGCTACGTATGGTAGCTGCAATACATTGAAAGGGCTGGCGTTCAAGACTTTGCTTTTGGGATTTTGTGTTTTACTACGTGGTATGCAACTGATGAAGGCAACACCGCACCGTTGGCACAGATACCTTGTGCCGCGCTTACTCAGAGCATGCAGGGAAGACAGGGCGGTGTGCAGGAGGCGTATGAAGCTCAGCATCTTCAAAGGGAGAGGGCTACAAACATTGTAAACGCAATGCTGTGACTCTGTCTGCTGAGTGCCCGTCTTAGCCAATGGCCACGGACGCACATCTTGCACATTTTGCCACTCTGCGGCTACAAAAGTTTGGGTAAGCTGCGAGCGGGTGAGAATTGGAGACAAGGGAAAGTGCTGAAACAATTGTGCAACCACCTGCGTGCATTCTATGTTCCACACTGGTGAGGCACTGGACACCTATGCGGAGATCA